TTTTGAAAAAATGTCATTTTTGTAAAGTGACACTTAAAAGTGACATTTTTTGAAATTTTTCAAATAAATATATATATCTAAAATTTAAGATAGTTTTACCAATTTCATGTATGTGTGAAAGAATATTAATTTTCTTTTCTAAGCACAAACCAATTAAGACGGAGAAAAATGTGTCATTTTATATTTTTTCATCTTTTAACGTTTTCACAGTCGAATTTAAATGCTAATGACTCTAATGGTTTAGGAATTAGATTAGATGTCAAATGAGACTCATACCCCAACAAAACAGTCGTGAAAATGCATCCGAAGCAAAGCGGCCGTGATCGTGGGGTCACTCTCGAACTCATCGCTTACGAGATTTCGAATGATAGTTTCTGCATTAGGGCATGAGTTGTTATAAAACCCAACTCTCAGCTGAGCAAACGAGACCGGAAAAATGAAAAGAATTAAGAGTAGGATAGAAAAATTTGCAATATTCATCTTCTTTTGTAGAAAGGTTTGCAATACAAAACTTAAGTGTTATATGTTGTGGAGTATGTGTTATGATACCTTTGCGATAAAACCCTTTATATATGCACCCCAAAATGGACCCGTTGATAATATATTTTTATAAGGGAAAATTATATACGTGTAAGTCAAATTTATTTAAACTAAGAGAGGCAATGTATAAACCGCAAAGGGAATTATTCCGTTGCCTTATGGAATATTTAATAAAAAGTATATGCTGAAATTTGAAGTAGCTAAGTAGATAGTAATTTTTATAAACAAAGTAGATATCAACATAATTTATTTATTTTATATAATCGGTAAGATGTATGTTTCAACCAAGTAGTTTAAATTTTTATAGTTTACTTGGTCGAAATCCATTTTTTAAAATAATCCACTGTCAAATAAACTATAAATATTGGATATAGTCAAATAAATTGCTGCTAAATAATGAACATGTCGATCCTTAGTGCATTTAGATGCTTCGATTTTGAAGAAATGAAACATTAAGAATAAATATCTGTTTTAAATTAGAAAGCAAATTGAGATATTGATTGTAATGACCCGCACAATGATCTAGTAGAAGCCAAGATAAGGCTCGATGAAAAGCTCGGATCAGTTAGATAAGTTTTACGCAAAAACCTAAGTAATCATCTCGGTGACTAAGCAGCCTGCTTGCTTGTCGGCAGGTAAGCAGCGTGCTAGGCTGCTTGGTGACCGAGCAGGGTGCTTGCTCTTGTCGTGGGTAAGCCCGTGCCTGGGTCGTGCCCGAGTGTGTCGACCACATGCCAGTGCGTGTTGCGCACATGTCTGGTCTTAGGCATCATCACCACCTCGTGTCGAGCCTAGGACGTTACCCGCGGGTGAAGAATGGGCAAGTGGTTGTGAGCTGTCCAGCTGCTTCACCTGCTTGGGCGCGCCTATTTAAAATTCGGCCCGACCTAGTAAGCAGGAGACACGAGAATTTCTGCCTTGTCCGAACATAACTTCTTTTCACCGCAAACTTTCATTGCAAACGGTAGCCTAGTTCGTGATCGTCCCATCCGATCAGTCCGTCCGAACCGAGTAGTCCATTTTCTAGTCCACCGCGAACCATAGAGTAGTTTCGCCGTGAGTCTTGTCGAGTAGGTTTGGGAAAACTTAGGGTAGGTTTCCCGTGATCGAACCTTACCATTTTCAAAGTGATCTTTCGTGCTGATCATGAATCTAATCTTAGTTTCTTGATCCGATGGCTCGACCGATCTCAAATTCGTAGCTTCAACTTCGGCTAAGCTCCAAAAGATCTAGAGAGGGTCTGCAGCAGGTTCCGTTCTAAACTAGGTATGATCCGTGGGCGTTCCCATCTAATTTTCCATGCGAAAATTCTAAGTCTTGCCTTAGTAATTTGTGAACCTTTGGAACAGATTTTTAGCT